AAACTGACTATTTAGACTATTTTGTGCAGGCTACGTCATTTGTGTACCTAAACAAGATGATTTTCAAGGAGTGTATGTGACTCTGCACATAAAAGATTTATGTAATTATGTATTATGGAGACTTATTTTCATGTAAGTGATGTAAGTAACTTTAAAACCTGCTATTTCATACATTGAATACAGTTCTTTGCTTTTTGAAGAGCACTGAACACAGAGGACAAGAACATATGCTAATATTGATACAGCAGACCACAGAGATGCTCTGTTTCCTTCTGTTTTGCATTATATATGGTGTGAAAATAGTTATTATAAACAACAAGAGAGTGAGACAAGCACATTCATAATAAAGTATAGAGAAATGCATACTGAATTCTAGTAAGAGCCCTGAGTCATAGAAGCCACACAATACAGAAACATCACAGCTGAAATCTTCAGCAGTAGTATTGTTTGAAGTAAAATAATTTGATGGGCAATTTAAATTTTGTTTTCTATTTATTAAGATTTCCTTTTTATATGCTTTTGCCTTGTTAGATTTGCAACAACTCAGATTTTTAACAAGGAGATTGGGTTCTTTTTATTTTAACGATACATCTTTTGGACACATTTGCTTTCCTCCAATAATTTAATATAAGAGCTAAGCTCCCAATTAAAAGCCAGTTATTAGGATTTGCAGTTAATCCAGAAGTGAAGCGGAACACTGGCAGAATTTGCCTTAGAGTTAGGCCTTATACTGATAGCACAGAACCAATTTCTCTCTTCCCCAATATACATGTTGAAAATAACATGTAATTTCCATTTATAATTAGATGGAGATTATTGTCGCTTCTGTACTTACAATTGTTTCCATTTATGTAAAATACAGAAGCTCTGTGTATTCAGTACATGAAGTGGAGAGCTCATGTGCTATTGAAAAGTTAAAGTGTGTAAAGGGCCTGTATATTTTAAATTGTTTATTTCACAGAACAGTATATGTTTGATCTAATCTATCAGCCACTGACAGATCTACTAGTGATTTCTACATTATAATTTCAAAACTATAGATGCATAGAACAATTTAATTTCCTGCTACATAATTTCTGGCATGCTGAGAAAGAAAAATAGAAATACAGAAAACTAAGAAATGGTGATGAGCTTCTCTGAAAAGCATAACAGACCATATTTATGAAAATTTTAGTGTCCCATAAATATTACTTCACTTGGGTCTGAGTCCAACAGTTGAATCTAAACTTCAAATGCCTGTTCTTTAAATTATATTTTACAACCTTTATTAAACTAAGATCATGATGGAGATCCTGCATTTAAAATTCCAGAAACTAGTAAATACTTAATTGCCCTGATTTTATGATGAACCAGTTGTTTTCCAATTACATATGTCTAAGGAATCTATATTGGCTTTGTGAAACTGGAAACTTTTCAGATATGTAAATTAATCTTTCATTACTATGCAGTATTCTTTAAATTAAATTACATACAGCTATCAGATTCTAGCAGTTCTTTTGCTGCAGTGAGATAATTTCTGGAGGCAAGACACCTGGCTGGGCTAGAGTGGTGATTAATTTTATGTGTTTAGGGTGCAATCATCACTCAGAAAAAGGCTTAGGGTTTGGATGATGGATGATGGGTAAAGTGCAGGCTGATAGGACATGGCCCATGAATCTGTTCTACATCATCAGTTCCTTTGATCACTGGCAGAAGTTCAGAGATACTTCTTTGAATCTGTCCGAAATAAACAAAGCTACCATATACCTTTCTGCAATATCACTTTTAAATATAGATCCACTTGGTGGAACTTTTGTTGCAACAATGCCAAAGTAAAATAAAAAGGAAATATTTCTACCTGAAGTTACATGCACATTTACAAACAAAGTAGGTGAGCGTGTGTGTGTGTGTGTTTGCATACACATGTATATAGCCTCGTTCTTTTTATAGATATTAATGACAGCTAATGGCAGAAAACTGATTTTTTTTTTCCTGCATGAAAACTGATATCTATGTTGACAGCAGGGATGGTATTCAACATAGCTGCTGAGAAATAGTGAAGCTTACACAGCTGTCGAGAAAAAAAACTCCTAAGTTTTATAGCAATGCTATACATCATTTCTTTTCCCTTCAGTCATGCTAGTGGCTGGGAAGAGTTGGGAATCTTTTTCTTATTGAGGAGAGTGTGAAATAGGTAGCCAAATTATGTTTCATAAATAATTCAGAGGGGGGAAGAGATGGCGGTGCTAACCTGGAAAAAAGAATACTCTTTTGTACCTCAATTAGCAAAGGACAATTTGATAATTGAAAGCAAATGTTTCCTCTTTTATATTATGATTTTCACTGTTCTTTGCCCAATGCTGTCCCCTGCAGGGTATAAGAAATCAGATCTCAAGGATCAGAACTACTCAGAGATAGTACAAAAAATTCTAGGAATAAAACAAAAAGGGAAATGGACACAGCAAATAGCTAGAATTAACTTTAGGTTCTTTATCAGATTTCATTATCAAGTTGGCATGGAACTGCTATTTCATATCAAATTACATCCTCGGATGTATGTGACTGGGTGTTAAAATATGCATCCTTTGAAAAATCTCTTGGATCTTATTTATTCAATACACTGAGTGTTCTGTGGAGATGTTATGAATTGCTAGTGCTCATATATTTCTACCGGGAGCAACACCAAATTAGCCAATTCTTTTAAGTCTCTCACCAACAATACCTGAACACGGAAATCAAACTGAATACATGACTCCTGAAAACATTTATATCTCAGTCCACTTCTTTATGGCTTTGAAACATGGAATATCAGAGGCATGTGAAAATGCTCTCCACTTAAATGGAACTGGTAAAACAACAACTGAAGGGCATTTGATCCCACATAAACTGAATGCAGCTTCTTTTAGACTTGATATAGAATGAAGGAAAGCAAAAGGAACACTCAAAAGGAAAAAGGTGGGAGAATTGACTGGACTTGACTAATAGGATCAGCACTGCACGAAACAAAGTAAAACATAAAAAGCTGGGGGTGCATTTGCAGTCGCATTGGCCACAAAAAGAGTCATGCAGCTGTTGTTATTACTCTCCCCTTCCTCGATGGAGAGTCATCACTTTATCTCACTAGGCAAAAATACTAAAATGCTCATTAACTCTCTTGCAACACCTCAGTTTGTTTTTACTGAGTTGTATTTCATCCATAGCCATTGCACCTAAGGGCACAAGATAATTTTTTTTTTACACAAAGGGATTCCCAAGAGTGATGCGAATGTTCCTTGGCTCCACAGAGGCCAAGTGCATTGTATCATCTTCATAGCTTACTCACAATCCTGGGCCCCAGGATGAGGAGTTGTTTAGTGTCTCCAAACCAAAGACTGCCATGTAGCAGATCAAATTGTTGTTGCTGGGCCGGCTCAGTATTTGCTTGTTTGATTTAAAGCACAGTTCTACTGTGAAAAGTTATTGGGAAAATGGTATTGTCTTCCTCAGTAGAGCTGCTTCCTATGTATATGAAGAATTACATTTGCTGACTCAGACGACAAACATACATATTTGCTGCTTTCCACTCCTTATTAGCCCTGCGGAGCAAACACAGCTAAGAGAGAATGAGTTGGATTCCATTTAATCTTGTGTATTGTAATATTGTTTTCTAAATTCCTGCTTGTTATCCCTTTGCAAGCCCAGTGAGGACAGTGGTGTTGCAAAGCTGTCACTGAGGGCATAATTTCAGCTGCAGAGCCTTTATTGCTAGTGATGATTGGTGAAAAGGAAGGAGCCCAGCTTGACTCTCAGATCCCAGCTTGCATTTGTAGCCCTAATAGTAAAAAAAAAATCTGTAATTTAAGCAAATTTGAATTAGTTCATTGGTACAGAGCAAGCCAATGCTATATCTTCCATGATTAAATTATACCCGGTAATGCTTACAGAGGTTCAGAATGTGCTGGAAGAATTTTGTGACCTTTAAACCTTGTGAATCTGTCTAATTCCTGATTGTAAAGCTGAAGTAGTTTGTCCTTTGCAGACTGATATTGTCAGTACCTGTTTTGGAAGAGGGAAGGGTACCAACTGCTTTATAATGACCTGGTGTCCATACTGCTAATAAATCTATCAACTGCTTTAGATGCTGTAAATTATGAGGTAGTGCTGATATATCTATGAGAGGATGGGGCTGGTCTTTGGTGGCTTCATTCTTTTCTGACAGTCAGTTGGGCTCAGAGTCTATCCAATTAAGAATGAAATGGTTATGGTGGATTGGAGAGGACAAGCAGAGGATTTGGAGTGAATTTATTACTTCCTCAATTGAGGATGTTCAACCAGCATTTCACAGCCTGACAGTCTGGTTACATTCCCAGTGGCTCCCAGACAGTCACCTCACAGCAGTGACCCCAAAATTGCTTTTTATCATCTTGGGCTGGCAAGGAGTTTGTCTCTTTTTCTTTTCACACCTTGCTACAATGAACCATGCCTTAAATCCAGGAGGAACTGAAGTGAGCGTAAAATATGGGAGCTTGCTTGAATTAAAGAATATCTTGCCATGAGTACATGATACTTGGGTTCTGTGATCGAGCTGGTTGCCAGCTGGCTGCTAGGTGGAATTGAAGGTGTTGGCTTTGACCTCTAAATTCCATAGAACTATCCTACCCAAGAGACAGCTGCTCTGAACAAACCATATCGCTGCAGTAGAGATCAGCAGACATACCTCAGCTGAAGCCCCCACCATAGAGAGGGAGGTTCTGACAGGGCTCTTCATCTTCGGAATTCATTTTCCTTCCCCACCCTTCGCCAATCCCCATCCAGAACAGTTGGCTTCTGGACATGCTGTGAGACCATCTTTTACCACAAATGTTTTTGGAAAGATGAGCAGGCTAATGCTGGCTTTCCTTTTGTGCAAGATAACCTTAACTGACAATAGAGGGCAGCTAGAGGGGCAAGTACCCTGTTATGTATATTATTTAATTCTAAAATAAACCAGCATGACACCCCACAATTCCATTTGACTTTTGAGTAGAATATTACTTCTAAGAAAAACTTCAGTGCCAAGCAACCAATATTTGGAAACACAGAAACTGCCATCCTGGGTTAGACCCGTATCCTGTCACCAACCGTGGCCAGTACAAAATATTTTGAAGAAAGGTACAAGAAGCCCTGCTATAGACAGTTATGGATGACCTACAACCAGGGAAAGTTTCCACTTAACTCCCAATAGTTACAGGTTGGCTAAAGCCCTGAAGCATGATGATTTATATCCTTTGTTTAACAGCAACCGTGTGGTGGTTGGTCCATATATTTTACCTATAATGTATTATCAGCCAATTTTTATCTTTTTTTTTTGTTAACAAAGTGCTTCTTGACTTCTGTCCTAGAGCTATTGTTCTATTAGTTGCAACCTTCTCTGCAAAATGAGAAAATAAATGATAAAACTTTGAGTCCTGTTTACATGAGAAATTTGTCTTGTAAATAACCATTTAGGTTGTATAGCCTGCTGTGTAAACAAATATTGTATTGATATGTGGGTGGGTAGAAGGGATTTGCACATAGTTGATTAATGTTTTAAGTTATTTCTCTAAAACAAGTCTGCATTTCTGGGGTCCAGTTTATCATGTTGTTGATGGAGGAATAGTGTACTTTATCAGAAAGTAAAATGACCTAATAATAGATATTTTCATGACAAAGAAGGCAGCTGCCAGCAAAGAGTCAGGTCAGTGCCTCCCTCCCGGGCATCTGCCATTTTGTATCCCTGTGTGTCACAGTGCAGGACCATCAAATCGTTACATTTTGAAACCCACCAATCCCTGCTGGCTCTCTGGCATGTGAACACGCCTGCCAATAGGGTGTCTTGAGTGAAAATGCCCTGCTGCACCACTGCCTCTGGACTCACAGGTGTCATCCCCAAGGAGTCTTGAGGAAAAGAATCTCTAGTTGCCTTTGTCAGTACCACTCTCCCGTTGATGTCATTCTGCTGGGCTGAGCAGGCATAGCCCCTGAGAATGGCAGGAACTTCCAATATAAGTAAATATGATAAATGTGTATATGTTACAGACGCATACGCACACACTCTTCAGAAGCTATCTGGTAACTTTCTTTAAGGTATCTCTACCTTAATTTATAAGGTAAATAGTACTAATAAGAGTACTATTAGTTGATATTTATAGGAGTGCCCAGAAACTCAGTTCTGTTGCTCCATTATGTTAGGCATTCTACAAACATAGACACAAGACACATTCACAGTTCAGAGGAGCTTACAGTCTCCCGCAAACACGTCCCGCATGTTCTTAACTTTAAACTTGAGGTCAATGGGACTACTTGGATGTTTAAAAGTAAGCCTGTGTAATCTTTTACAGGATCTGGGCCTAAGACTTCATGGTAGTATACTATTAAAAAGATCCATTACATAAAAATAATTCCTTATTCCCTTCTTGAACATTTTTGTAATAAGTGCAGTCTATATTGCCACCAAGATTTAAAGTTTTTTTCTTTAAATAGCATATTATGTAAGAAGAGAAAACTGATTTAAATCACATATTCCATCTAATGATTGCAAACATATTCAGTTAAACCAATATAAAATTAATTCTCTGTTTGCCATTGGGGGTCATTCTTAGTGCATTTGTTTGGATGGCAGTTAGAAAAAAATGCGATTAGCCTAAGGGTAAACTATTTTCTTTTAAAATATAGAAATATTCCTGAAAGTACAACAGATGAATAGACATTCTTTACATTAGAGGCATCTGTTTAGGAAGAAGTTGTTTCAGTTTTCAAATACGAAAATGTAATTTTAGCATTCAGGATAGTGGTAATTTAAAATAAAACAAGAACAATAGTCATTAAATGGCTGTGTTTCTGGACTTAGATTGATGCTTAACACATTGATCTTCTTCACCAGAAGCTTTCCATATTCCATCTGTTAGAATCTTTGACCTTTTCTTAACACCATTAAAAGATAAAATGTTAATCTACTGAAAAAAGATGCATGACCTTTTAAAAGTGAACTGTACCACTTTAGAGTCTGCCATCATTAAAGAACTTTATGCTCAGAAGCCATGCATTATGTGTATCATAGCAATTTAATTGTTTAGAATAGTGTAATTGTTCAACCAAGATGATATATACCAAGCGTTCCATAAATTAGAACTAGAACGATGTGAACTTTTGAAAAAAACTGATCAAGTTCATTTGTCAGTCCAGGGCTCGCTTTCAGTTCTAATCAACTACAACTCTGATTTTTTTGTTCTTATTATGCTAAGATGTATGTCTGGGAGCCATCATTTAAAATAATAATTAAAAAAAGACAGCACCTCGTAACAAATAAAACTACACCATGGCTGTTTGGGACCCCCCCCCCTTCCCCCGGCAAATTATGTGTTTTTATTTATTGAAGTTCAGGCCAAAAGTATGAAACTCATATTTCAAATTCAAGCATTTAAGAACATGCTTAACTTCCAGCACGTGGTTAATTCCCTCTGGCTTCCAGGTAAGCCCATGCTTTCCTGATTGAAGGGTTTCCCTGAATATAGCCAGAGACGACAAACTGAATGATTATTATGTAATTTAACTTTACCCTATGCCATGATATGTGCTATAGAAATGAGAGAGACGCAATTCCTTGCTAAAGAATCTGTAAATACAGCAATCTGATTAATGCTATGGCTACCTAAGAAGTGCATAGCAAATGACTCCAGAAAGTCCATATGGGCTCCTCTTTAGAATAAGATGTTCTAGTCTTTGACGTACAGTGCTAGAGCCCCAAAATCCCACCTGTGCTGCAGAAGAGTGTGTCTTTTTAAATGAGCTCAGAATTATTCAATGGAGTTTTCCCTGCAGAGTAAGTGATCCTCGGATAAAGCATTAAGGCTCTAGGACTATAGAAGTTCTACTCATATGTGTATTAATTATTTATTGTTGCTGTTATTATTTATTTATATTGTGATAGCACCAAAGGGTCCCAATCATGGCCCAGGACCTTGATTGTGCCAGGCACTGTACAGACCCAGAACAAAAGGATAGTCCCCACCCCAAAGCTCTTACAATCGAACTATAAGATAAGATACAGCAAAGAGATACAATGAACAGACGTAGGGAGTAGAAGGCAACAATGAGACAGTACTGGTCAGCCTGATCAGCAGTGGTTACACCACAACAAATCCCTAGCCCTCGTTGAGTTTTTTATACGCATCACAGCAGAGGGAATGTTAAGGAGGAGCTTGGAAGGACAATGAGGTGAGATTGTAGATGTTTGTGTTGCCAACTCTTGCAATCTTAGCTTGAGTTTTGCTATATTTGTGCTTCCTTAAAGCCCTAGCTGCTGGAATCCTATTACATGGGGTACTTAGCAGTCATTTTAAAAAAGACAAAGTTTCTAGCCCTCCTGGTTGCAGAGACAATCACAAACCCTAATAAAAAGACTCCAAATGTTATTTTTTTAAATCTCAATTTTTCCTCCAATCTCACTATTTTTGACGGCTGATATTCACTGGGAGCTCCTCCCATCCAGAAAGGGAGCATAGAAGAAACTATGAAGTAGAATTTTGAAAAATTTAACAAATAGGCAGACATTTTCCTCTGTAAATACTTCTAACTCCTAATTAAAACTCTCTGTATAGTTTTCTGCTCCTGCAGAGTTTGTTTAGGTGAGTTTATTTATATTTTCTCTCTGTTAAATAAATTTTCTTTAACCCAAGCATTTCATATCCAAAGTGAATAATACCGCCTTTTTCATTCTGAATTTTTATTACACTCTTTCCCTATATTAACCTGTTCCACCCCAACCCTCATCCCAGTTTATCTCTGCAAATTTCCTCACTTCCATATTCTTCCCCCTAGGTCATTGATATTGAAAGCAAGCAATTTATGTTTCTTAGTGTTCAGTGATGTGGCACTTCACTGGATGCATAGTATACTAGCTACCAAGATGACAGTCAGTGTTGCTCTGGAAAGCATATATTTCCAGTGCATACCATGTGAAAGCCTGTAGTGAGTGGTGTGGACACAGCCAACGGGAGTGTCACTGGCAGAAAAGCACAGTCATGTGCCCAGTGCTGTGGAGGAAGGAAGAGTGTAGTGATCTGCATGTTTGTGTTCAAGGATAGACAGGATTTGGACCTATTTTTCCTATGGTCCATTCGATCTGTAGGTAACTTAGCTTGCCCTGCCGGTTGCACATTACTGGTGGCCTGCCTTTCAGAGATTTAATTCCACCTCTGAAGGCAGTAGTACCTCAAGAAAACATGAGCTATTTCAAGTAAGTCCACCCTTCCATGCATTTTTATGTGGGAAGGGAGGATATGATCCACAGTAATTATTTCTGTGTCTACTAAGTATGACTACAAAATAATCTACCAAAGCTATTATTACTACCTAATTAGTGTTTCCAAATAAAACCTACATAGTTACCGTACTGCTTGCTGTTACTTCACAATGTAGTAGTCGTCCTTAAACCTTTTGTGGATACTCATCACTAGTTACTAAACAAAGCCTAAATGCTACAGGCCTTGCCAACAAAACTATTCCTCTTTTTCACTGTGAAACTGGATGTGAAAGAAAAAGTGTCAAACTGTGCTGCTCTTAGAAACATTAAGGCAGCATATAAATAGAATAGGAAACCTGTTAAGAAAGTTCTGGTCTTGCATTTACGTGTTCATTACCGTTTTGGACAAAGGGAGTCTGCAATTAATATTTTCCATTTCAAAACGTAACTTTCTTTTTCCTTCACAATAGGTTTATACTGTTTTCCATGGAGCAGCTGTCCATAACCAGGAACTCCTCATCCGCTTGCTGATCAATACATACAGTAAGTGACGTGTAACTCAGCTTAATTCTCTTGTGTCTTGATGAAATAATTTCTTCCCTGATCAAACAAATCTGCTGTTTACCATAATCTCAATTTAACACCTTCTCCAAGTGCTCAGCATTACTGTCTGCGTCTGAATAGGTTTTGCAAAGCAGAAATAAATGCCAGGAAAAACCAAACAAGTCTTTTCTCCTTTTCTTGAAAGTTGGAACAGGCTTTGGGTTTTTATCACAGTGACAGGTTACATGGTAAACAAAGTTCAAGATCTTTGGTTTGGCCATTAACGATAAGAATTGGCTGGACCCAAACAAAGCTGAAGGGAACAACACTTGAATGAAGACCAAGTTACACATTAAGGCAGTTATTCTAAAGGAAGTGTCTCATGTCTGCGAAGTAAAAATGTGTTCCTTCTGTACAGTAGGGCAGTTAGGGCACATTGCTCCTGTCTCACCAAGGAACTTATGAGAATGGAATCGCCAGCTAATGTGCAATATGGAAAAAGGGGCTTTTGGAAAATATTCTGCTTCTTAAAGGCTAATTTATTTGTTAATGTTAGGGGCATGGCTGGAAGGGGCTTAGCCTCAGCAAAACCGGTAGCCAGTCCCTGTTTGATCACATTACCAAGAAAGACTGTAAGAGAGTAATTTTAATAAAAGACTCTCTTGCTCAAATTGGGCAGGGGCACTTTATCCCTTGGCCAGCAACTAAAGGTGTAGCCAAGTCCCTCATTTGTATCATGTAGGATTTATCTAGTTCCCTCTTGTTCTTAAGCAAACCAAGTTGCATCCAAATCCAAGCTGAGTCATACAAAAGGTTCTCTAAGAGCCCAAACACCACATTAGCAGCCTCACTCCAAGACAGTCTCTGAAACAACTCCCAACATGCATGCCTGTGAAGCTCATCAGGGAGCCAGATGCTGATCTTGAGAAGAGTAACTCCTGCAAACTTTGACATCTTATTCCTCTAACTTTTAAGGAGAATTGTGGAGGGTTCGAATTTGGACAAATGAGTTGACAGCCTTTTTCATTTAAAATTCTAGAAATACTATGCACAATATTTAAGTGCTAGCTGTAAGGGGTAGAAAAAAATATTTTCAGACAGAATATATTTTTATGTTTAAACATGTGTATGCTACATTTTTCTTCATCTGGGATAGATCTTTGGCTTTACAAGAATTACTGTGTATTGTGTGAAGAAATGACGGCACAAAATCTTTATGTAGCCTTTGTGAAATACTATGATGAGTTTTCATCTTAGGTAAATAGCATAACTCTGCTGAATGCTGTATATTTGCCTGAAACTGAAAGAGTTAAAGGGATTTAGGAATTATTCCTCCTAATATCAGCTGGAGTTTGCATGACTGAAATTTTAGACCATTTTCTTCTTGTACATAGGAGTATATAATTCCTGCATGGCCTAGAAATCTTTTCTTTTTGACAGCTATACTAGACTGTTTATCCCAGATCACTAAGTTTGGATGTATGAAGAATACTATATGCGGTGGTTTTGTGTCAAGCCCAAAGCAAACAACCATTTTTACTGGATATCTGATCCACTAAAAGATGGACAGTGTTTTGAATTATATGTGTACGTTTCGTTAGATACCTCTCTGTGGTCCTGCAGAGACATATACCATTTCGCTACGTAACCGTCATACCATTACTCAACCACAACTGCAAACTTTCATATACACTGTACATACATAATCAGAGTGGGCTTGTCTGGGCACAACGTTTGCCTCTAGAAATAGGGCATTTTAAAGCATATTGACACATGCATGAAATGAAAAACACACGTGGTACTAAAGAGTTCAGTTCCCCTATAAGGGGCATCAGTGGCTCTTAATGTTTTGGGGGAAGCTTTAGTAGAACACAGAATTGCTGCTGCCTCACAGTCTTCTAGATATTGCTTAAACCACCCAAGATACTCGATAAACTGGGCATTTCTGCCAAGGGGAAAAAAAAAGCCTAGCTTGTCTGAATCCTAATGTGGAGTAATCTGAGATGTATTCATTCTTCCTCTGAGTTTTTGGCTGCCAACAAAACTATTGTATGCAGTGTTTTTGTAGCTGTGTTGGTCTCAGGTTATCTAACAACACTATTGTAACTTCTATTACACTTATTGCTTGTCAGGATTACTTTAGTGTTGTTGTTATTTGTCTGCATGTCACTAGAACCTGGAGGCCCCAGGACGCCATTAGATGCTTTACACATTTTGAGTAAAAATAGATGGTCCCTGACCCGAATAGCTTACAGTCTAAATAGACAAGACAAACACAGGAAGGGGGAAAGGGATATAACATCCAAGCAGAGGAAACAGAATGGTGGTTTGCCAAAATCATGTTGGCTCCACAAACTTTTTTCATGTGTTTAGTTATATGGATTTTTTTGTTGTTGTTTTAAAAATAATTTCTGGGTGGGATTTTGTTTGGCTGATGGTACTGTGCTTTACATTGTCTCTACCCCTCCTCATCCCTATCTGCTGATTTGACAGTTTCCACAGTGCTCACAGTCCCAATGATCCAAGGACTCTTTACCTTTCTAGTGACTCAGGCGGCACAGGGCATGTACACTTGGTGTCAGGTCTGTTTTCCCCCCTCTCTCTTACCCCTAAGGCTCTGCATCGTGGGTGCCTTCAACCAATTGACTGTTGTTACTCAGAATGTCTGATATAAATACATTGCAATAAGTAAAGTGAGCTATTACCAGCTATGTGTAGGATGGAAGGAGAATTTGATCTAAAATGATATATGGCCCTTGTAAAGTGGGGAGCAAGGATGGGATGAGTAGGGCAGTTAAAAGTATGGGAGCTTATTTATTCAGCTATCCTCCTTTAGTGCAATGAATCTTAAGGACACTGTCAAGGTTTGCAAGCCCATAAATTAATCTACTCATGGTTACAACCTGATATAACAGCCATGTTAGTCTGTATTTGCAAAAAGAAAAGGAGTACTTGTGGCACCTTAGAGACTAACCAATTTATTTGAGCATAAGCTTTCACAAGCTACAGCTCACTTCATGAGATGCGTACTGTGGAAAGCCTGATATAGAAAGTCTCCTGGATTTTAATGGGCCAGATTTTCAGACAGATATGCAACTGCACCGTGAGTTTGTGTGCTGAGATGGCCAACAAGGGATCCACTTAATGCTAGCTGTAGTGACTTGTGATGTAAAAACCCTCTCCATTATTAGAGAGTGAAATGAGCAAACCAATTAATTTCAGCAAAGGCCTGCAAAACTCTCATCACTGTTGCTTATAGTGACCTCAGTCTATTGCTACAAAAACAGCCAACCTTATTTTCAGCTCCCTTCAAAATACAGCTAAATCAGTGTTTGCTCAATGAATAAAAGGGAAAATTGTGCATATTTAAAGATCTTAAAATCAAAGTTATTTAAAAAGAGGAATATTAAATTCTCTTACAAATGTATTGATGCTGCTGACCCTTTAAGATTATACTCAGCTCCTACCATCTACCAGCATTCTTGCCAGGCAGCCTGTACAAATATTATTATTACTTAAATAGACTCCAAATCATTACACTGTGTTTTTACTTTGTATTGAAGTTATTTAAATATAGTTTTCTTATGTTGTGATCCTTTGACAAATGCTTAAAGAGTTAGCACATTGTTAGCAACAGTGAAAAGGAAATGGATGCCTGGCAGGAGGAAAGACAAATAATTTTCTCATGCTTGCTGGGCTGTTTCTGTAGTGTAAATCAACTGTTCTTCTCTGAAAGTAAAAACTTATTCCAAGGTGTCAACAAAAGTAAAGTAATTAGGGAAGGAAATGTAATTCCTCTCTGCCTTCCCTTGATTCTCCCCTCCCAGCCCCACATGTTCATAAAGTATTTAAAATTATGAACATTGGTAGATTAATTGGTGCAAAAAAGCAAATTAGGGCCCAATCTTGCAAACACTCCTGTAAGTAATCCCACTGACTGCGCTCACATGAGAGCGTACGTTTCGGTACGTAAGTGTTTGCAGGACTAGGGGATAAGGGATCAATCCTGCAAGGTGCTGAGCACCCTAGTCCTGATCTAGCAAAGCACAGGCTTAATTCTAAGCACTTGAGTAGTCCCACTGAAGTCAACTCACGTGACTAAACATCTTGCTGGAGGAGGATCAGTTCACTCAGCACCTTGCAGGATCTAACCCTTAATGTTTAACTTGGAATAAAGTGGAAACATCATGGTGCTGCTTTGAGCAATGAATTTGATTTTTTTTTTAAACAACAAAACTTTGCCAGCCTCGCTTGTGCTTCTGGTTCAAGTATGTAATAAAATTAACTACTGTAATATGCTTCCTCCACAATTTAGCTCTCAAATCCTTTGCTGCAAAAGCAGCTGTAAACCTCAAAGGCATATTTTTTTCTTAGTGTTAGCAATTAATATGCCACAAGTCTTTGCATAAATAACTTGTCTATTTTAAAGCAACTCAGATGAGCTATTTCATTTTATATGACTGTTAATTAAGATGTTGATTAGCCCCGCTATTGAAGCATTGAAACCCTTTCTAAAAGAAATGGCCACTGTTCCAATTTTATTTTAATTAGTTGGACTTTGAGGTTATTTACTGCACTGTCAGCTATCAAAGCAAAGCTATTTAATTTGATGATCAGTCCAAGCAGGTAGCACGCAGAGTTTCACATTTGCCTGTAAGCAGCAATATGATTTAAGGTCATTTAAGAGTCATCAGCCTCACAGATGGGAAAATGCAAAGTATCTAAAGGGGAAAATAACAATTGTTGTCTTGTCAAATAAAATCCGAACATAGTATTTTGTGTGAACACCCACCAGTTTCCAGCAATTTTATACAGAGCGTGTTTCCCTTTGGGCGGAGAGTGTTAGGTCTTCCCTTTCATGCATCCTTCCATTGAGACACAGTAACCCCCTCGGGAGGTGAAACCCACCCAGATATTTGTGATTTTAAAACTTCATTTACGTCACTTTCAACAGAGATGGATCATTATTCTGGGATAAAACCACATCCTGCACAATGAAG